TACCACGTTTTCTTACAGCTAGTTTGTTGCTCTTACCAAACCGACTTTGTTGATTTTGGTTTTGAAGTGCTGCATTAGCCAGGTTAATGCTTAGGGCCATTGCACACATAATATAAAACCATGGTTTAAATTCTTCTGCACCATTATGCTTTGATTCCCATGCACATTGTTCTTCCTCTTGCACCAGAGATTCCCATGCACAAATAATCTTTTGAGCCAAGTGCTGCTATGCTTGTAGTCCTTCCTTTCCGGTTTATAAGTCTCAATTCTATCACTTACCATCACATGTTCAGATTTCAAGGTGTATTAAATCACTGCATGTAAGGATGAAGAAAAAACTCACCAATGCATGTAGTAGAAGTTCTTGGTCATTAAGTGGTCATGCGTGCATGGTGTAATTAATGAATCGGTTTATACAAATTTTTGAGAAAAGCAAGAGTAATAATTAAGGACTTTTGCAAACTACAGAATTAACTCCACTATTCATCATCTACCTTAGTTGAAGAGATTTTTAAATTAAGCCCTATAAACCGGAAAGGAGGGAGTATCAAACATGATGACTTCGCTTTAGCTACCTCAAAAACCGTGTGACAGCTAGAGTCCCCGTTCCAATTCACTATGCACCATGACCTGATCATTTCAGTTGGTCCCCATCTACGCACGGCCGATACTGGGAACATGACCCTGCCAAACCCGGTGCGGCGCCTTGATTACATCATTCGACATCGACACTCCATGATGACTGCCTCGATCGCGTCACCATCTTCTTTGCGGTGCATCTTAGTGTCCCGACTACATGGCGCTTCCTTGCGCTCACAGCTCCACATGTGCCTACCCTGACACCACCTACCACGATCTTGACTTCGACGATGGCGTCCCCTCACACGGCTACCTCAACGATGGTGTCCCCTCGCACACTATCTCGACCACTGGTACACCACCCACGCTCTCGACTATCTTGACATCGACACAAAGGGCTATCACCTCGCTTAAGCACCCCATTGGCGTCTTCTACAATCAAGGAGTTTGCGACGCGACACAGTCCACGATGGTCCCGCTATGACTATGGGGGATGTCAACCCATTGGTTTTTACCTTGACCTTATCTCTAGTCTAACTGTTAGCAATGTCAAGGCTCCTGTTGTTTGCATTACGCCAATTATCTTCCTCTCGGTTCTCATACATTCAATATGCAAACATGGTCCGCAATAAGAGAATATGCAAAAAAAAGGCATTTCATGAGTTCCACATTTCACGTGGTGGGTTGGCATTTTGCCGCTACGTGATTAAAAGTGGCTCACAAGGTTTCATGTCCACCCTAATATCCCGTGCGATTTATATGTATGCAGCTCGTTGGAAAAAGTTCATGCGTGATTGAATTCAAAAAAATTAACTTCCAAAACATGAACTAATTTATGATCCATTTTCATGGTCATTTTATCTCGACGAGAGCTTTGCCATTATATCGCGCGCGCGCGTGTGTGTTTCCCTACAGAAATCATCTTTAAAGTTGCCATCTACGAGTAGTTTTCAATGTAGTTGTACCGAAGTTGCCGCGGGTAGCTTTGATACCAATTAGTGAGTAGTTTGCCTCCGTTTCAAAAGAAAAAAAAATAATGAGTGATGATTATTTGCGACTTTGCACTATCTGAAGTTCTGAACACAAACAAACAACCACCCAAGTGAGGAGCTTCAGCCGGTCACGTGCCATCCCCTTCCCCCTCCCTCCTCACTCCCCTCTCTCTCACTCACCCACTCGCGCACAGAACTAGCCAAGGAAGCGAAGAGGAATTGCCATTTCGGGAAAGGAGAGGAGAATCAGATCGGGCAGATGGCCGGCGGCGACGTTGCGACCGTCTTCCTGGAGATGAGCCTCGGCACTCGCCTCGCCGTCTCGTTCCCCGCCGCATCCACCACCGTCGCCGACCTCAAAGGTGCGTACCTTTCTTGCCTGTCTACCTTTTCTTTTCGAGTTGTTCTTGCTTGCCTACGGCTGGCTGGCTTTCCGACGGATCAATCCTGTTGCCTCTAGAACAAATCTTGGCACTTTCTCTTGGTTGCAAATCAAATCAGATCGATTCGTTTCGGCCTGAGCTGACAAAACCCCAATCTTGGGTTAATTTCCCTTTTTGGTTTGTACCAGGCAGAGTGAGTCATGAGCACGCCGCATGTTTCCCCGACTTTGGCCAGATCGCCGTCCAATCCGTCAAGGTACTGTCCAATCCATCACGGAAATTGACTGATCCATCGATTTTAATTAACATGGCCGCTGATCCATGTTGAATGCCGCTGCCTTGAGCAGGTCGAGCAGGGTGGCGCGTGGTTCCACCTCGCCGACTCCATGGCCGTCCGGGATGCATTCCAGTTCCACGGGGCCAACGAAACCTGGCACCTCCAAGTAGATGCTCTGCCTCACCCTCAGCATCTCGACCAAGGAATGGCCACCGAGGGACACTCCAAGGATTCCTCTGCTACTCACTCTGAACCAAGCTGTGAGATGCTGGGTGACCAGGTTAAAGTTGAAGTTGGAGCGGACTCTGAACCAAGCTGTGAGATGCTGCCTGATCAGGTTAAAGTTGAAGTTGGAGAGGAGGAGCCATTGGCAGCCGAAGCCAAGGGGGAAAGAGGCAGCAGCAGCAGGACTGATCAGAAGGGGTCGAAGGAAGCAGAGGCCACATCAACAGAACAGAGGGCATGTGACAGAAGGCTGCGGCCAAGGACCAGAGTTGGCAAAACACCCATCACCAAGGCGGCGAACAGCAGCGGCAGCTCGGAGTCGGAGGAGATGGACGTCAACACCGTCGGCGTCGACGCGCCGCCGTCGCAGTTCGTCGTCATGCTCAAGGAATGCCACTTTGTCACCAAGAACGGGCAGTACCTGGTGAGAGCGTCCCTACTCTACTCGATCACACGCGCACTTTCGTCCCTGTAACTAACTCCGTGTCTCCGTCGCCGCCGGTCGACGCAGAACGTGCCGCGGGGGTTCAGCGTGGCGCATGGGTACGCGGAGAGGAAGAAGGTGCTGCTGCGGATGGGGGGCGAGTCGTGGACGGTGAGCCTGAAGCACGTCCACATTGTGCGTGGCAAGACCCGCACGTCCTTCCGGTACGGGTGGCACCAGTTCTGCGTCGACAACCACCTCCGCGTCGGCGAGACGTGCTTCTTCCGAGCGCTCGGCCAAGGCGGCGGGGGCGACCGCCATGTGCTCAAGGTGGAGGTGCGCAGGCTAGACGGCAGCTACGCCAGCTGATGTGCCTCCGTCCGTTGCATCAGCATAGCCGTCTCAAGCAGGGCTCTTCTCTTAGACTGCAATGCATTGCATTGTGGTAGCCCAATATTAATATGCAGTTTGCTCCTGCTTATTATATATGTTTCGCTTAGATACGCTAGTTCTATCAGGGTCCTCATTATCTAACTAGCTTTGGCTGACAATTTATTGTGCTAGCTTCGTGTGACAATGTATTGTGCATTTGTGCTAGCTATAGAATCTGAAAATTTGATCTCAATCTCTGCATCTCGATCATGCCTATGTCTTTCGTTTTGGGAAAGTAGTGGCTGCACCCACCTTCGGTGAACAGTAAATTCGAAAAAGAAAAGAAAAAGACAAAAAAAATCTGAAATTTGAAGGATGCGAGTATGAGCAAATGTTTTAGAAGCTTGCAAAGTTTGGTCACCAAAAAACATCAAATGATCTCCATACAAAACGAAATACAAATGATGCTCCTGCACCCATGTTACTGTTCAGTGTTCACATGTTTTCAGCACAAACTATTTAATTTGGTTCTTATATTTTTAGTTACAATAATTTGTTTGATGGACCTAATAATAAACTAAAAAGAAGGGAGAAATTATTTTCTTTGTGGTACTCCCTTTGTTTCTTTTAACTTTGCATTTTGAATTTTGTCTTAAGTCGAACTTTGTAAAGTTGGACTAAATTTATATAAAAAAATATATCAATATTTACAATACAAAATAAGCTTGTGATCCAATTTGCTTTATTGTAGCTGCCGAGTGAAGGACACGGCGTTTCAGAACCCGGTCTTAGATGAGCCCAGGGATGAACAATAAAATCAAATAAAATAGGGAAAAAATCCCCAAAAAAAAGTGGTGCAAGATGCTCCTATGCGTGAATTCTGTGCAAAATTTTGTAAAGTTTGGACATTCAAGTAGCTGATGGCAACAAAGACAAATTCCAGGGTGTCTGGGAATTTTTTTTAAATCGCACTGTTCATGCCTAATTTTGTCTTTTTTGCCATGAGCTCCTCGAATGTCCAAACTTCACAAAAAATTGCAGAGTTCAGAGCATCTTGCACCACAAAAAAAATTATTTTTAATTTACTGTTCACCGGGTGCATCTGAGAGCTTGGGTTCCGGATTGAATTATCGCGAGTGAATCGTATGATGCAGCAAGGAAGGTCTTGATGAGCTCCATGACACCCAACTTGTGAATCAACATCAGAATCGATCTAATGCAGATCCGCCTGTAGTCCAGATGCAAATTAATCATCCTTTTGAGGTCATTAGATGAGACGAATAACAGCAGAACCGACTGGAAGAATGCCTGTTGACTGCTTTCAGTTCATATGGGAGGAAGTCCATTTCTTAACTCCTGCCCGATTGCTTTCCATTTCTTATATTCCAGAGGGGGGAAATAGAACTGGTGCAAGGAAGAAAAATGTACTTTTTAAGCTCTTGGCTTTCCAAACATAAGCTTGTGATGCAGCAAAAACAGATTTGTGCTGAACACTTTGTTACAGAGCATACAATTGCATTATCCAGAAGACACAGCGCCTGCAAGCTGCATCAATAAATGAGTGGCATGCCTGCTATGAGATTGCTTACTTTGTGATGTGCAACTCTGACATAGCATGATCATGGTAGAAGTATATACCTTTGAAACAACTCAGTGATATGCGGTGCGTGGATAGAAGTATGTGCTTAACCCAGTCATCAGTTCACATATTTTCCATCAATTTTGACCTTTAGTTTTCTTGTTGCTAGCTACCTGCATTGAGTAGCCAGAACCTTGCTGCAACCGCCATGGCGGATGATATTCAGTTCTTCCAGCGAAGGTGGCAGGCCCTTTACTGGCAGCCACAACATGCGCTTACAATTACCGATCTCCAACTTCTTGAGGGAGGGAAGGCTGTGCAGCTCCGCAGGAAGATCTACAAGATAATCGCATTTCCAAAACTGGAGCTCTTCCAGGGACGTGATGAGCAGAAGCCCTCTCGCTTGCTCATCTGTTAGCCGTGTTGCTTCACTCTCGCAAGTTCGAAGTTCTAAGCGTTGTAGGGATTTGAGCTGCTTGCAGAATGGCGTGGTAAGGACACAAGGGTCATCGGTCACAAGCTTTTCCAATTGAGGGCATAGCTCATAACCTTGCCCTGACGCATGCTCTAAAAATGGAGGCAAATTGGGGGTGCTGAATAAGCTCAAATGCCTGAGGAACTGGAAGCCCTCTAGTGCGGCAAGCGATGGACATCCCAGAATATTTAACTCCTCCAGTGCCGTGCATGACTGTAGCTGTAGAGACTCCAAACTTAGGTTGCTCCAAATTTGGAACTTTTTTAGGCCAGTGAGATTCCTTGGAAAGCATGGATGCAATATTGCTTGGGAATAATTGCCGATCACAAGATGTCCAAGTGATTGAGGGAGGAGACACCTTCCACTCACCTGGCCATCATTTCCATCAATATGCACCAAAGATGAGAGCAGCTCAGGGCAAAACCAAATTGTTAGCTTCTCGAGGGAAGTAAATCCAGATAAGCCTTCCTTGCTACCATAAAATGATAAATCAGGGCATACCGCAATATCCATCTCCTTGAGAGAGGATAGGATATTTAATGGAATTTGCAAGAGTCCGTCTGGAGCTGAGCTTGTCAATGAGTCATTTGGATATCCTAATGAAGAAGCTTGCATGGTTGAGATAAGATTTGACTTACTGTTTTCTCCTTCTATTGATAACTGTGTTATCTGTCGACAGGATCCTAAACTCAATACCATTAGAGCCGCCGAATGTCGCAGCATCAGAGACAGCCACTTCCCCACTATACCACACGAATGAATATTGAGATGTTCAAGAGATGGGAAGGCAGTATAATTTGCAACTATCACATCTTCATGGGTACACTCTGGTATATCTAGAGAGAAAAGTTTTTCACAATCGCTTATTTCCAAACTCTTTAAGGAGACTAGCTGACTAAAACCTTCAAATGGAATAGACATCAGATTTCTGCAACGCCTGATACACAAGTACTTAAGGCCCCTTAGATTATGGAATAATATTCTGTCATCCAGTGTCCTCATCTCATAAGACTCAGCATGTAAAACAAATGGACCCTCAATTTTTAATGTTTCTCCGGATGATCCCTCCATCGTTGGAAGTGTTGAAACTCTGCTGATAAAGAATTCAGAACAGGTGGTTGAAGGTGGAAGAGGGTGCCTTACTTTCAAATGAGGACAATCGTAGATAATTAACTTTCTAAGACTGGGCAACCATGACTTATGCTCGCTTTTGAATTTAATGCCATCCTCAAGCAAAACAAACACCTTCAGTGCACTACACATCTTGATATTCAGTACCCTCAAACTAGAGTTCAGATCCCACATGGAACTGCAGGAGCATTTCTCCAACTTTGGCATTTCAATTAAAACCAGCTCCTCCAATGAAGGAAACGTTACTTCCATTATTTTCTGCATGTTGCACAACTTCAACTTCGTAAGAAACGGAAGCATTTCCAGAGATGGAAATATTTGCCATTCCCCACAATCCTCTAGATGAAGCGTCTGCAAAGAGGTAACTGAAAAATTGCTGGCAAGCCAAGTTGGGGAAGTAGTACCATTGTACCCAAATATCCGCAGATGCTTTAAGCCTAGATGTGGTTCAAGACCCTCAAGCACCTCTCTTGATTTGTCACTGTGATCAGTATACTTCCACGACAAGCGCAGCTTTTCTAAGTGTACTTTGTCCCTCAATTTTGCTCCATCAGCCTCATCTTTAGTGGCAACATTTTCAAGTTGTGGGACACCTAGTTGCAGAAGCTCGTTCATGGACTGAAGTTGTGTTATCTCAAAGTTGCTAGTAGTTTGAACCCTAAAATCATGTAGCTCCAGAAGAGATGTCATTTTACCAATGCAAGGAATGGAAGAGGATAGTCCTTCTACAACAATATGACGCAGGCTCACAAGATTATGGATACCATTAGGTATCATTGGATCAGTGTCTGAGTCAACGTCTAATACTTGAAGATGGTAAAACTTGCTCAAAACTTGAGGTGAAGCCACTCCTGGCTTAGGAGTCTTCAGATAGCGAAGATGGGTAGGATTTACCAAAGTGCACACAAAGGAATTAAAATCAGAAGTTGTTGCAGACATTTGCAGCAAACGTAAATTATGTGCCTTTTTTGAATATATCTTGAAAGGATTGGAAGAAGAAAGAGTCATACTGCCCAATTAACACTAGTGTCCTCAATCTTCTTACTGATGTAACTGTATTTCGCAAATTTTCTTCAAACTTGTAACTACGTGGTATGCTTCCATCCTGATTCTTGCAGTATGCAGAGTCAGTTACTATTGACAAGTGTTGTACAGTTGGCAGCATTTCATTGCACCATAGATCATCTATAGTTGCACACTCATTTCTTGAAATCATCCGTCCAAAATCATGCATAAGGCCACACATAGCATAGCAAGTTTGTCTGCCTTGAAACGACTCTTCTCTTACAACTCGATTATGGAGTCTCATGATAAAAATTTCACTTTTAAAACGGATGCTGTCGTCTTTGCATTCAATTTGCTGCAAGAAGCCTAGGTTCACCAAATCAGTAAGATAATCATGTCCTGTCTCCTCCAATTTCTTACCTGAGTGGTTACACTTCACAAATCCCTGTGAAATCCAAATGCGGACCAACTCATCACCAAGAAACTGATGGTTGTTGGGAAATATAGAAACGTATGAGCAACATTGCTGTAGATGGTAGGGTAGTTGATCATAACTAAGCTTTAAAGAAGACATGATGCCCCTGCTTAGTTGCAAGGATTTCCAACATTCATTCTTCAAAATGGCACTCCAATGATCAACAGTAAGCTGTTTTCTTAATAGTTTTCCTGTAGATCCAGCTGCTAACGGGTTGCCCATTAACTTCTCTGCTATTTGATGCCCTATGATGCCTAGAGTTTGATGCTCTTCGTAGTTCTCATCACCAAATGCACATGATTTGAACAATAACCAAAAATCATCATTTGCCAAAGCACCTAAGTTGACCGGTTCGAGGGTACCTATCCTTTGTGCAACAGAGAAATTTCTAGTTGTGATAATAATCACATTGCCCTTCACACGAGTTGATAGCATTGGAGACAACAGTTTGTTCCATAGGTAATCATCCAGAGTGTCCCAGACATCATCTAAAATGAGCAGAAACCTTTCCGACTGGAACTCCATATGTACCTTCAAGATCTCCTGAAGCTTCGCAAGATCATTTATTCCTTCATGACTTTCTTGAGAAATGAAGTCTAACATCTCTCTTGTAAGCCTTACTTCATCAAAGCTGTTTGACACCCATAGCCATTTCCGTTCAAACTGCTCTTTTACTGTTGGATCATTATATACGAGTTGTGTGAGAGTTGTCTTGCCAACTCCTCCAATGCCTACAATAGGCAGTACAGACACACCTTCATGTTTATCAGATGTAATCATCTTTATGATGGTGCTCATCTCTGAATCTCTCCCATACACTTTTTGCTGATTAAGACTTGATGTTGTTGGGCACACATCATTTGAGCTTGTAATAGAGGCCGATCCATGCATCTTGAGAACACCACTCACATCCTCTAGGATGTCTTGTAACTGGTGAGTTATTTCCTGTATCCTATTGAAACAATCTGCCTTGTGCCAAAGGTTTATGTTAGCTGCGGTGGTTTGTGCCAACTCCTCGTCTCTTCTCCTTTTTCTGCTGAACAAATCACCAATTACAACAGGTGCAGCATTTGCAGTAGCATCACAGGTGCTGCAATAAAAAAAGACATTGTAGATTGGCTATTAGAAATGCAACTTTTTCTCCAAGTGCTATCCGAAATGCAATATTTTTTCAATTCAAAATGCCGTGGAAAAAAGTGAAATACTGTCCAGACAAACATCATGCTATAACATGTATTCATGTATAATTTGGTATACAAATATGCCCGTATGCATTCTGTACAAAGAGAAATTTTGTGCACTCTGAACACACACACTCTCCAATCTTCATGGTTGAAGCAGAACTGATTTGTCTTTTTTATGAAGGACGTATATAGCCACATTTAGCATAAAATTGTCCAAGGTTACCTGTTACCTCTCAGAGCACAATGTATACATGCAAATGTTTTCTTATTTTTATTTTTACAACTCTTTTATAGAGAAAATACATTTTGATTATCGGGTGGACATCCACCCCAATGATAAAATACTTTACAACTACTAGAATCACAATAATGGGTTGATTATATAAGTTAAAAAAACGTTGAAAATGAAAACAACTGCGCGGATGTAAATTTTTAGGATCCAGAGGAAAACATATGTTACTCTTTAAAATATGTACCATGAAGAGTTTGGCGGCTGGTCAGTTGCTCTGGAGTTCTTACAACCCTGACTCTTGACATGGTTGTTCCAGATTGACGTCCCTCTGTCGCTTCCGCATTTAACTGCTTTTTGACAGTGTTTAAACTTTGCTTTCACAGGCTTTCCGTCGTTTTCCTCTGTGATATCAAAATCACACCATGCTTTGGACCATTTCTTGCCACCACTGGTACCAAGTATATTAGCATCACCTCCCCTCGATCTCTCATCTACTCGCTCTGCTTCATGCATTCTGCCAGGATCACCGTGTTAAATGTATGAGTACAGGTGGCGTATAGGTTCAGGTATTCAGGTAGTTCTGTACCTGTTTCGGTTGTGTCTAGAGATAGATTGTAATCTCTAGTTATCTCTATCTTAAACCCCCTGTAATCTCTCATATGGTTGTTTCCCAACAACCTTTCTTGTACCACAAACCACAATATCAATATATAACATGCGGGTGCCTGTGTATGGGCATTGAGACGCTTCGATACAGTTTTACATGGTAATCAGAGCCTCCCTCTTCCGCCACATCTAGCCTCGATCATCCTTCCTCCTCCCCGCAGAAAACCCTAGCTCCAACCATGTCCACCTCCAGCCAAACTCCATCCATTGCCCTTACCAACACCACATCCGAGCCCCTCACAAGAACCAACTACATCCTATGGAGAGCCCAAGCTCGCTCCCAGATCATGGGTGCTGGGCTATATGGGTATATAGATCAAACCACACCCGAGTCAAACAAAACCATCATCACCAAGACCTCAGAAGGAAAGGATCAAATCGCTCCTAACCCTGAATACAAACCATGGCTGATTCAAGATCAGCAGATCGTAGCCTTCCTCCTTCGTAATCTTTCGAAGGAGGTCCTGATTCAAGTTGCCTCCCTAGAAACCTCGCATGCCATATGGTCAGCCCTAGCAAATATGTTCGCTACCCAATCCCGTTCTCGTGTGAACAACTGCCGCCAATCCCTCACCAATGCACAGAAAGGCTCCTTGAGCGCATCCGCATACTTTGGGCAGATGAGAGCACTCTCGGATGAGCTAGCTGCCGCCGGGAATCCCATAACAGAAGTAGATCTTCTTTCTCACATCATTGCAGGGCTCGACATGGACTACCAACCTCTCATCTCGGCGCTGGACGTACGCACTGCTCCCCTCTCGGTGGATGATCTCTTCGGCATGGTCTCCAACTTTGACCAGCGCGTTGAGATGTTCCACGGGACAGGGGCAGGGGCTTTCAAGTCCTCGGCTAATGTTGCATCCCGAGGTCGTGGCAACAACAACAACTCCAGCCGCTACCGCAACTCCAACAACAGGAGTGGTGGTTGTGGATATCGTGGTGGCGGCGGCGGCCCCTACCAGAACGGCGGCAACGGTGGTGGCGGTGGTCACTACCAGAACAACTCCAACACCGGCGGCTACAACAACTACAACAGCGGCGGAGGTGGTGGCGGTGGCCACTACCAGAACGCCGACGGCGGTGGTGGCGGTGGTCACTACCAGAACGGCGGCGACAACAACAGACGCCCCTACTACAACAACAACAGGGGGCGTCCCTTCCAAGGGTATGAGGAATATGAAAATAAGTGTCAAATTTGCAAGAAAAATAACCACATCGCCAAGGATTGTGATTGGCGATATGCCGAGAGCAACTCCAAAAAGAAAGTTGCAGCAGCAGCGGACATGTCATACGGAGTTGACACAAACTGGTACGTCGACTCCGGGGCTACCAACCACATCACCAACGAGCTCGAGAAGGTGACGATGAGCGAGAAGTACCATGGCCAAGATCAAGTTCACAATGCGAATGGTGAAGGTATGGAGATTAATCATATTGGTCATGCAATTGTCAAAACCCCTAGTCGCAATATCCATCTTAGAAATATCTTGCATGTTCCCAAAACAGAGAAAAACCTTCTTTCTGTTCATCGTATTGCCCTTGACAACAAGGTGTTTCTAGAATTTCACCCATATTTCTTTTTGATTCGAGATCAGGTCACGAGGAACATTCTCTACAGAGGTAGATGTGTGCATGGGCTCTATCCATTGATTCCCAAATTTACAAGCTTCAATAAACAAGTTTTTGGTGTCATCAAACTCTCTTCGGAGCGGTGGCATGCAAGATTAGGACATCCATCTTTTGTTATCGTTCAGCAAGTGCTTAGAAATAATCAGCTCCCATGTGTCGGTGAGCGTAGTCTTGAAACTATATGTGATTCTTGTCAGAAAGCAAAATCTCATCAGTTACCATACCCAATTTCTACTAGTGTTTCTACTAGACCATTACAACTTGTCTTTTCTGATGTTTGGGGTCCTGCCCCTATGTCTGTTGGACGTCATACTTACTATGTTAGTTTCATAGATGATTTTAGTAAGTATACTTGGATTTATCTTCTCAAAAAACGTTCTGACGTTTTCCAAGTTTTTCAAAATTTTCAAGCACTTGTTGAACGTCAATTCGATACAAAAATTCTCGCCGTCCAATCTGATTGGGGCGGTGAGTATGAGAAACTTGATTCATTCTTTCAAACCTTGGGTATTTCTCATCACGTATCTTGTCCCCATGCACATCAACAGAATGGCTCGACCGAGCGTAAACATCGCCATATTGTTGAAGTAGGCCTAGCCCTACTCGCTGGCGCTTCCATGCCTCTCAAGTTTTGGGATGAGGCGTTTCTTACGGCAGTCCACCTCATTAACATGCTTCCCAGCCGTGTCATCAACAATGATATACCCATGCATAGGCTCCTTAATACTCGACCAGATTATCATTCTCTTCGTGTGTTCGGTTGTGCCTGCTGGCCTAACCTGCGTCCGTACAACAACCGCAAACTTATGTTCCGCTC